AAAACCCTCGAAAGCGCGTCAAAACTTAACCCCCCCCCCCTCTCGCATTTGCTTTCTATGAGTGGCGAAGTGCCCGAGAAGTAGTCCGAGTGGTAGCAAATGCCAACAGCAACCACACGTTGGTAAGCCCCTTGACGGCGCCCTATTTCGAGAACTGTAACAGTGGATGATTACGTTTTATTTCTCCTAAAATTACGTATTGCTTTTGTCACATTAACCTCCAACACTTTTTTTTCGCCATATAACGATAGTTTATGTCAGAAATGTCGTACTGACGAGGTCCTGTTGTGGTGGTGCTGAATCTAGGACGAATCTCAACTAAATCTTCAGAATTACCGAAAAAACGTTTTTGTCCCAAGCAAGCATCCTGACCTCCTCACATGTTCAACTGTAAAGCAACAACCATTTATACTGTTAACGACCTGATTGCTTCAAGTTTAGTGAAAAAACGAATATGGCTTAACTGACTGGGACGTCCCAATTTCAGCTAAATCGCTAAAACCTTAGACAGAATGCTTTACTGCCAGATAAACGTCCTGATTCTTACATGTTCAACTGTAAAGCAACAACCATTCGTGCTGTTAACGACCTTACTGCTTCAAATTTAGCGCAAAAACGCTTGACTGCTTCAGGTTTAGCATCCCTTAAATACTGGCAAAAATCTGCTTAAATTTAACAAAGTATCATAGAACTTAACAACACATAAATAATGATTACTTGGCATGCGCGCCTAGTACCAATTTACCATCGAAACGAATGAACAAAGGATCGGCTTCCCTTCTTAATATACTCCAACTCGAGTACCCGAAGGAACACAAAACCGAAAAAACCCCGTACCACGTAAATCCCAGCAAAAACTAACACAGCCCCCCAACCCTCACTCCTTCACCCTCACCCCCACCACATCCCTCATCGATCAAGTCGCAACGCCGGCCGCGACGCGTACGCTGACGCACACGCAACACATGTGCAGGCAATCAATGTGATAGTGTGAATGGCAGAGAAAAAAAAATCCGGAAATTGATGGATCGGCCGGCGAGGACCTGTTTGGGGCAAGG